TCGATGGAAGGTGAAAACCCCGCACCAACGCGATTCCCGTGGTGCGCCGTGAAATTCAGAGGCAGTGCTCAGCAATATCTTCCTCTTGCGCTGGTGGTTGTCGCATGCGAAGACGGCGTAGTGGTACGCGGATTACTTCTTGTAAGGGGGCGCAGCGTAAACAGGTGCTTTATAGCGTTTTTAACTCCCAGAGCCACTGCGTACCATGCTGGCGATAAAGAAAAAAATTATGGCGTTTCCGGGAGCGAGAGTATATACTGCCGAAGGCGCTTGGTTGTGAGGTAGGCGCCAACAGCGTCTCGGCCGTCGATAATCTGATCTACGGTGAGGTTTGTTGGCATTTAAACGTGAGGCATCCAGCATTGAAGCCTTAATCGCTGGTACTCTCTCGCATTAACTCTACTACTCGTGTCCTGCGTGATTTTTAACACAATGTGCTCAGACGATCGCAAAACTTCTACAACATTGTGGTGCGTTGGATTCTGAGCGTTGCTAGCAGTCTCTTTGCGGGTAAAACCCGGTGAAGTTAAAAGATAGCACTAAACACGTATGGAAATACTTAACAGCAGTGAAAATGCATGGAGGCAGCGTTATGCAGCTTCCATAGAGCGAAAACAAAGATGTGACCTCCCGTAACTTGGTACCTGCCACCAGTAAAAGTAATCTTCAAAAAAATTAATCAAATTGCATTAGGAAGCACTGTAGACGACGCATTGAACAGCCAATAGAGGCTTTTTTAAGCTTCTTCATAAACTTCCTTACGCTAACGTGTTACCGGATACCAATTTGCGTTTGCTGTCTTACCGGAAGTCATGTTTTTCAATGTTTTAGCTGCTATATATGTATACGTAATCATCTGCGTGCGTACGTTAACACGTTCACATCTACGTTTCCGCAAACTATTATAGTGAGGCTAGCCGCATTTAAACGCTATTTAACTTTGGTAGAGTTGAATCATGGCTGCGGTGAAATCATGAGACTTCTTTTTTACTGTGTACAGTATCCTCATATGCAGAAAATGATGAAAAATACAATGTTACTGCAACGATGGTATTAGCATCTTATGACACTTCGTACAACCACAGTCATAAACACGTTGATTTACGCGTAATATTTTTGAGGTGAAAGTGAATAAATGATTTAAAGGGAAGCGCATTCGTATAATAACCCCGGTGCGCCGTTTTTACGCCACAAGTACAATGTATGTTGTTCCTGCAAAAACAATTTTGATTACCTGGTACAGTATGGTTCCACTAAATGGCGCGGCTGAAATAATGTAATCACTATTAGCGCTGGTACTTCGTCTTATTTTCACTCGGCGGCTTGAATCTCTGTACAGCGAATACCGAGAGTTCCTACGAACGAATGAGATATGGGAGATAGGACCGCAAACGTGAATCATATCGAGCGGGTACTTTACGTTACGCAAAGGTTTACGTTCTGTGAAAACCCGTGCATGCGCAGATTCTACCTGGTATCCAATAACACGGTAACACAAAGTAGAATACGGACAAGCTGAACGCTTATATTCAATGGTTCTCAGTCCGCAAATAGGCGTTGGTGATACAGTGCGCGTGTGAGAACATGAGATTGCAATATTCAGTAAATTTACACGTGCCTCAGGTAGAAAAAAAATCACTGAACTTTTCATTGCTGTATTTTGCTGAGCTTTTGCTTACTCCTTCATTTTATAGGATAGTATTTGTACAAGTCTTTGTACAAATCGCATTAAGAGGTGCCGTTGGTGCTTCCATTGAAACCGCACACCCGTGCTAAGTTATTCGGGCAACATGTAAATCCGGCAAATTCGAAACATTCCCTACTTCAGCCTGTTCATCTTATTTCTCGCTGAAATGAGTAGAAATTCGTGTACTCTCGGCATCAAATGAAACGCGAACAGCGGAGCGCGTGGCACTAGCCTTATCAATGCTTTTTTTTTTCTTTCTTTATTGCCTGTTTACATACAACATTCACAAACATATATACATCAAACAAAGTAGAAACATGAAACAAAAAAGAGGTAAAAAGCATCATATTTAACAGGCTTTTTAAAATTCCTTCATCTGTAGAAGGCTTTCTACTTGATGAAGCCATTCGGGCACCTCTTGTTGAACCTTTTGTGCTTCCACGAACGAACAGACAGATTGAAAGAAATATTGCCTGACCGGACGTGCATTAACATCAGCATGGCGCACCGCCATTCTAGATTGCCATATACCGTGCAGGCCCAGTAACATAACTAGGTCGAAAGGTATTCCTTCTTCATTTGATACTGGTAGAAATCTGATGCCATAGGCATCGAGAGGCAGATCCTTTTTCAAAGTCCTTTGGAGAACATCCCAGAAAAAGACTGCATCCCAGCAGTCCAGGAAAACATGTTCAATTGTTTCCGGCTTTTTGCAGAGAAGGCAATCAACACCCCAAGGAACGAATAAGCCTTTTTCTTGCATCCATGTTTTCACGGGCAAGGTCCCAGTGTGCAACTTAAAGAAAAAGCACTAGCCTTATCAATGCATAGTGCGTGCCGTCGACCAGTCATTGGCACAGACAGGCGTGCACATCCGGCGCGGCAGCACTGCGCGATCCCCCTATAGTGCAATATTTATGCTTGTGCTCAGGTATGGGATTTGAACGAAACAAAAAAAAAACAGAGGTTAAGCTACTGCAGCCGAAGGCGAGTATTGTAGCATGGTTCGTCATCATGGAGTCCATCATCACGAAATTCCTGGCTAATTCTATTTATATTAGACAAATGTCAGTTCATAACGCTTGCGATTTCACACTGTTTCACTTCGTCCCGGTAAAGCGAAACGTTTCGCGCTCTCTCTTCCGAACAAACGCTCGGCATTTAGAGTTAAAGTGATGCGTTTTCGGGTCGGCCTCTGAAAGAAGGGTGCAGGTGAAGCAGCACTGGCGAACGAGATACGACGATCGTTTGAAAATCAACCGCAAACCAATTATATTTCTCTTTTCGTTTTGTCGTGCCAAATCACCGATTGCACTGCGATGCCGAAAAAAAAAGCAAGGACTTGCGAGTGATGCGATCAAAAGCGCTTGGCACGCCCACGATGGCCACCATTACCACCATACGAAAACTACAGCAGGAATGGAGATAACGCACTGTAGGGGCACTTTAGGGGTGCCGCAGTGCTGCCAAAAAGAATGTGCCCACCTGTCAATGGTGATGACTGGACGGCCAACACTATACTGTTTCTAATGCTTGAAACACGCGCTCCGCTGTTCGGGTTTCATTTGACGCCGATAGTACATGCATACATCCGTATAAATTCACGTACCCGCGTAATCAGTATTTCCTCAAACAAGTCGTGACAGTACTTATTTAGGTGCTTATTCGTGACTCAAATTTTTGTTCTGTTCATCAGAAGTCATAATCTAACCTTTTTAAAAATATTTGCAAGCTTGAAGCAGAATTTCAGGGAATCATACAACAAAGTCGGCATACGATCAACTCTGATAAGTGAAAGCATTTCGGAATTTAACACTGCAGTGCGTGAAGGAGAGCTGATTTCCCCGCTTTCAACAATTCACTGTACAAGTTTGTACCATAGGAATGTCATTGCTACGTGGTACTAACATGGTCTTTGGTTGAATTGGTATAATAAGTCGAAAGCATTAGGTACCTACCAGACACCATATTTTAACTCAAAGTGTAAGAAAAGAAAGAAATAGCTGAGAAGAAAATAAGGCGGTGCATAGGGCAAGCGCTAAAGCCCCGCCGCGGTGGTCTAGTGGCTAAGGTACTCGGCTGCTGACCCGCAGGCTTCGGGTCCAAATCGCGGCTGCGGCGGCTGCATTTCCGATGGAGGCGGAAATGTCGTAGGCCCGTGTGCTCAGATTTGGGTGCACGTTAAAGAACCCCAGGTGGTCTAAATTTCCGGAGCCCTCCACTACGGCGTCTCTCATAATCATATGGTGGTTTTGGGACGTTAAACACCACAAATCAATCAGGGCAAGCGCTAAACATCAGCCGGTTTTATTTCGGGAAAAACAAGAAAGAGACCACCTAAAGCGCATGCGCGCAGTCGTAGCAGAGCTAATCAAGCATCGATCTGAAATATCTGAACTCATTGCCAAGCAATGGAATAAACGGGTCACTTACACACTCTATGTCCTTGTTTTGATATGTAAAGCTTGCAGCAACTCTCTTCCCAAGGTATCTCCACCTTTAGGTGCCTCGTTGAACACGATGTGTCACCGTCCCAGCAAACACAAGTGATGCAAAAATCAACATCACGTGATGATGTGACCACATGACGTCATCACGCAGTCACTATAATCTTACATGAGGTTACGTCTCATGTTGACGTTATCACATCATAACGTTGCTTGTTCAGATGTGAGCCAATCCCACCGGAACTGCGAAGCCCCATGGGGTAGTGAAACAGCAAAGCTGGCGCCATCTTTCGTCAATAATGCTTGGCGATGGCGTTTACCCCTTCACGCTTCACTTCTCGCGGGTGGTTACGTCAGGCGCCCTCTTTCTCGGGACTGTGGAAAGTCTTGGTCATTCTAAAAAAATGCCCTCCCCCCCCCCCCCCCCCGCAGAAACAACCACCAACCTCCTCTATACTTCACCAGGCAATGTCTGGCGTGCGCTTTCTACCAAGCCTCCCGGTGCTCTTAGATATCCCCTCTTTTCCCTTCAACGGGTCTTCTGATAAACTTGGTCTTTCCTCCGAGCTGCATCCTCAACCCTCACTCCAAAACAAACCACCGACCGCTTCCCTCGGTTCACACCTATACGCTTTTTTTTCTCATCCACACTCGGCGCACCTCCACGTTGTTTCTCGCCTTTTTCCAGAACTATTGTGAAACTACCGAGCTCCGCTGTGCGAGACTATGAAACTATAAGGTCAAGGGTTGATTCAGAATTGCTTCGCTGTTAAAAGAAGACGAACATGACTTGCGCATTTGAGTCGTGTTTGGGCAAACGCACAAGGGACCGTTATACTTGGACCGTTCTTTTGTTTCCTGCACAGACACGCACGTGAACACAGCGCCGAGACTGACCGATCGCAGGCCCGTGGTGCGGGCACGCCAAGGAGACAACGTGAAGATACCGTGCGCGGCGCAGGGTTACCCCATTCCCACGTACTCCTGGCATCGACTGGAAGGCGGCTGGAAGGTCTCTCTCGACTCGGCAGGTCGAGTGTCACAGGTTGACGGAACGCTCCTATTCCGACGCGCCGTTGTTGGCGACGGTGGCAAGTACGTGTGCGTCGTCAACAATTCCATCGGTGAGGACAGGATGGAGACGCAACTCACGATCACAGGTAAACTACCACCGGCGCTTAGCTGTGCTTCCTATTGAGAAGTTCTGTCACCACCAACTTCCGTTCTTTCTACTGTGTACATGATTTACATGATCGTGAAGCTATTTAGTTAATGTTGAACTAGTCTTGAGCGCAGATGGTCTAGGCTTGTAGTGGCTATATTCACAACAGCGTGGTCTTGCGGCAAAAGACGTTGGGTGACAAACCGGGCTCTCTGAATTCCTAAGCACCTAAAAACTGCCTCGGTGAAATTCGCAAAGAGAAAGAGTGTTTGTGTAGTTTCTTTGTTCACACGTGACCTCGCTTTTTTTTCATTTTACCAGGTTGACAGGGCATGCAAAGTAGACGCTAAGAATAAATTATAGAAAGAAACAGACTATCCAACCATGTTAAGTCTACATTTCAATACCAAAATTAAAAGCTGGCATTACGTTTCGAGATCCATCAGGTCTCTTCCTCAAGGGGGGCCTGTCCATCCAAACTTTTCCTAGTGCTAGCACCCTTCTTCACCATCGTACCTCCTGCTGTTCTTGTTATTCCGGAAGCCGTGTACATACACACTCGGCCAAGTCCGAGTGGAGCATTCGTTATTTTCAGTTTTAAAAAAATGTTGCCATTGAAAAATATAAACTAAACGCGACTGAAGAGTCCTTTTATTCGTGTAATTTTCTACCAGACAACTTTCTGACAAATAAGTCTACCTTTTATTATGCGTTGTGACTGAAAAAAATTTTTTTCTGGTTGGTGGCTGCTCACTGACCTGCACAATTGAGAATTGCAGTAATAATTGCTGGGCCTGGATAATGATGAGTGTTATGATCTCACTTGTTTCATTTTGCGAATGATGCGCGTCGGTTTCCGACAAAATGAGTTATATTGCTGTGCGCATAAGCCGTTTTTTTATCAAAGCAGCATTGAGCGTGTCTCACGCAACCGGCCTCTCCGATGATTGCAGGTATTTAAAAAGAAAAATTTCATTTGCTTCGACTAAAGTTGTACATATGTTTAAAACATACGAAGTACCACTGCGTAGTAACACCATTCGATTTAGTTGACTGTCATTGGAACTAAAGGATTTAAAAGCATTGGTAGTTTTCAGGGAATGGGTGAAAAATGTGCTGGTGCCTGCGTAAACAACGGACTTGAGATATTCCACAAAATTAACCACACGAGGCGCAAGCGCGTGAACAGAACCCAAGTTGCGGTTAAAATACCTACCGTTGACCTATTTTCAGACCACCCACTGAAAACGTGGTTTGCAAAGTTTTCTAGCCACCTTTTAAGAGATGCTTGTCGTAATCTTACAGTTAGTGTTATTTTCTGGCCTCGCCGTGAGGGCTATGATATACTTTGGCCATATCGTAACAGCCGGCTTTAGAGTTGGCGAAATTATTCACCCAGATGGCGGCATCACATACAGCGTTAAATTCTACAGTAAGCTTTAATGATTTGCCTTCGTCATTTAATAAATAGCTATAAACGTAACACGTGAGCCAGTGATCGTCCCACTAAGCAGGGCTGTAACTAGGGTAGAGTTCGGGGGGTTCTGATTCCCCGAACTTTCCTCATGCTTCAACGTTTTGGGGGACACTAATGTATTTACATACTTTCACATCGACCGCCGGAGGATAAAGTTAGCCATTCTACACATCGACACCGATCCCAATGAAATTCCTGGTTACGGCCCTGCCACCGAGGCTGTCTACCAGAACCGAATATGAAATTTGAAGCGACCTTTCTGATCAGCTCTTATGTTGTACATCACGTGACCAATTATTGATTGATGGACAATGACTTTTCTTTTGCTATATTTATTATGCATTAGCAACACCTAAACACCAGGAGTTTGCCGTGCGCTCAAAGAGACCCCTGCATACAATATATAACATTTTGAAACTACCATTAAAAACACGTCACTCTTGCGTTTCTATGTGAACCTTCATAAATCTCACCAAGCGCACTTATTAACTACAAATAAATTACACGCTGTTTGCGACTTCGGCGCTAACATAGCGATACCTTAAGGTGCGCACTGCAATGCATTCGCAGCACCACTGACGGCGATGGTTCGTCCGAGACGAATGGTGGCCACCGAGGGTGCTCCGGCGACGCTGAATTGCACCACCTCCGGTCACCCCGTGTCTTCCGTGGTGTGGCTCAAGAACGGTCAGCCCGTGGTCTCCTCGCGCGTCAAGATGCTCACGCGGGAGAGACTGCACATACCGAACGTGCTGCGGGACGACAAGGGAATGTACCAGTGCTTCGCGCTCAACGACTACGACTGGGCGCAGGGAACGGCCGAGATCACGCTGGGCGGTGAGCACCGACAGCCATGGCATGATGGAGGTTTTTGATCTGTCCGGTATTCGGTTAACGCAAAGCGCGGCGCATTACAGAATTGCTTGTGCCCTAGCTACTACCGTGTCAAGTGGCGCCATCTATGAAAAGTAGAACACAAATAAATAAGACTTAATCTACGACCTCCGAGATTTCGTGAGCGCCACTCACTGAGCCTACAGCATTGCTTTGAATAAGTGTCTCAAAAGTGGTGCCGAATGCACACAAGTACTTTGCTTTCGAAGCTTAACAACAAAAGTTGGAAGTAAACAAAAGCAACTACACGAAGGTACGGAGCTGTATATGCAGACAACGTGAGGGCCCCTTGATAGAATCGAGGAGAAGGCAACCGCTCTCAGTGGTGCGGTTATGTTTACTGAGCTCGCGCATGCGCAGTTCACAACCGGTATTTCTGCGCACGCAAAGTATTTCAAGAATACCGGCATGCCGAACAGCCTAAAAACCTCTGTTATTTGCGGCATACAGTTCCGCACGCGCGTATACTAACCACTACACCACACCACGCTACGGCGCCGTGTAACAGGAAACTGGCTTGTGTGGGCACCGATGGGTCTTTTGCACATGGTGCGAACATTCCTGCAGTTACTCCAGAAAATGGGTGCTTTACCCCACAAGGGGGAGAAGTGCCCCTACTTGCCGTGCCGTGCGCAATCTTTTGGGCGCGTTTCGCCTTTTGGAGGAGCAAGGAGCCCTTTTTTGGGTAATTGCGCAGTTCCTCAGGAAAACCTTTTAAAGTGTAAAGATTACCACACCAAACACCACGATGTATATTTCGAGGGCATCTACCAGGTTTTACGTAGTGTTTAATCGGCAATAATGAAGCTCGGTGCCCTTTGTATGAGCCATAGACCTTACATATAAAGTTTAAGAAACTCTCATGAGGCCAATGTTGCAAAAACGCGAAAAATACATCCCGAAATTCATGACGTCACGTGCGAAAATCATGGCCTGAAATTTTAAAATGCAACTTCAACCTTGATTTTCTCCTCTAATAATGAACTTACGTTGATGTAGCTTTCGACATAACAGTTCTTAGAGCAGAGTTTATCAACCTAAACCGATTCACTGTTTGACTTTAGCGTCCCTTCAAAGAGAGTCGCATAAGTAGGAAATGCGAACTCATAAAAACGTTCAAAGGAGTTTTTCTCTTCATTCCACTGGTAAGACAAGGGACATGTTAGCACGTCGTTTGAACGGTGCAACTTTTTTTCTCGTACAGACGATCCTCCCGTACTCGTTCACCGATTTTCCGAGCAGACCGTGGAACCAGGCTCACCGGTGTCGCTCAAGTGCGCAGCGACGGGTGCACCCTTGCCTCAAATCACGTGGAGTCTCGACGGAGAGCCTGTCATCGAGAGCATGCGAGTGCGCATTGGGGATTTCGTCACTAACGAGGGACAGGTAGCGTTGGTCACCTATATATTACTTTGGCTGAAGAACACTGGCCTGGCTGATGCGCCTGTCTTTTACACAGCGCTCGCATTTTTTTTATTCCTTTCTCAATTCCCAGCACAGAGTAGCCGGCCAGATGCTTGCTAAGCAACTTGCCTTCTACCTTTCCGTTTCCTTTTTTCCTGGTTCCAGCGACGCAGTGTTTAGTGACGCTATTAACGAGAGATACTCTTCTTTCTCAGTTCAAGGATATCCCGCCACTGCACTTCCGGTTGTAAGAATAATCCTAAACCTTTTTGAAAAATAGAAACATGTGGTTCCAGTTCAAATTGAAAGATATACTAGATTCGTTCTATATCGGAACCTAAGGTAACTTCGGATAGAGGTTCATTGACATTCAGAATAATAAGAAAGGTGATTAAGTTCTTTGAAATTTCGTGAGCAGCTGGTATCAGTTGCGGCACCTGGCGGAGGAGATCTCAACCACGCGTTTTTTCTTCGTGGCCTGTGGAATCCGCTTCGTCAGCGGAGTAAACGCGAAATCATCCCCAAGAATACACCAGAGCACACGAACGACGACGTTTGAGTGCTGCCACCAGGTACCTAAGTCGAGGACTAGGCATAGGTCGGTGAACTCACTCGGACTCACTCATACTCAGATCGAGCCGTGAGTCTGAGTCTGGGTGAGTCCAAGTGAGTAATATTTTCGTGAGTTTGAGTCCGATTGACCCCAGTTGAAGAAAATTTTCTTGAGTGTGAGTCCGAGTCAGTTGGCTCAGGAAAATTTTGTTGAGTTTGAGTGAATCCGAAGCGTGAGATATATTTCTTGAATGAGTCTGAGTGAGTTTCATTTTCTTTTTCTGAATTATCGTCATAAATACTCATCTTCAGATTACTATCAGCATTACCTGGATTCTTGTTTATACTCACGTATTCTTGCACTTATATGAAAGCAGAGTCTTTCATACACCATTTCAATATTTATTGATCAGAGGCGTAAATTGCGTAAGGGCAAGCCTTCACTTTCCACCCCCCCCCCCACAAACTCTTCCAAGGCAGTTTTTAATAAATATATCATACGTTGTCATCTTTTTCAAGAAATATGACCTCACATTGGTTTACGACCATTCATAACTTTTACTTGAAGGCAGTGTATCAAAAGGCGCCAAAAAGAGAACCCATTGCTTGGGATATTGATGCTATAGAGCATTTACATCATGGTTGAACAACGTAATTCTAAGCTAACGGACTCACTAATCGACTCGGACTCACTCAGACTCAGATTGAGCCGTAAGTCTGAGTCAAGGTGAGTTCGGGTGCGTAATATTTTATAGAGTCCGAGTGAGTCCGGTTGAAGAACATTTTTATGAGTGTGAGTTCGAGTAAGTCCAGCTGAGAAAAAAAATTATCGAGTGTGAGTTCGAGTGAGTTCAATGCACGAGAAATATTCCGTACGTCTGTGTGAGCTCCATAAGTTCTGCCGACCTGTGGGACTATGGTCACCTCCAGCATTTTCTTTTGCTTTGCTGCCCTCATGAACAAGCAGGGGACATCTGACATACAACCATCGCAGGTGAACAGCTTCGTGAACGTAACGGCTGCGACAACCGAGGACGGCGGCCGATACCAGTGTCACGCGAGCAACGACGTAGAAACTGTGTCCCACGGAGCGCGCATGAACGTCAGGGGTCATCCGTTCGTTCGTGTCATGCGCAACGTGTCCGTTCTGGCAGGACGCACGCTGATCGTCCACTGTCCGGCCGCCGGATACCCGCTCACCCAGATATTCTGGCACAAAGGTGAGTGCGAAGAAAAGCAGTAACTCCACGATTTCGCAGAACTACTCTACCAAACTAAGCAGTATAGAACAACAACAATACTACTGCTACCAGTACTCCTCCTCCTCCTTCCCCTACCACTACTACTACTACTACTACTACTACTATTACTACTACAACAACAACAACAACAACAATAATAATATTAATAATAATAATAACAATAATACTAAATAATAATAATAATAATAATAATATAATCTAATAATAATGCGAAGACATAGAATAGGGGCGTAAATACCACGTCAGGGGGTAATTGGTAATACAATGTTATTCATAGGATTGTATGCTACATTGACGAGGACAAGAAGTAAGAATAATAATAGAGTGAAAATAACTAGTTGACTAAGAATAATAATAAGGATTTGGGCATTCCGTGATGAAACCACGATATTGTTATGAGGCGCGCCCGGAAAAAGAACTCCTCAAATGTACCTCTGTCGTGCTTTTGACACCGCACAAAGAAAGATCCTTTAGCATTTCGCCTCCATTCGAATGAGACCACCGCAGCCGAGATTGAACACGTGGCTGTCTTTTTAACAGCCAAGCACGATAAGAACTGTTACACCGAAGCGTACAAGTATCCTCCATCCGGTTGTAACTTCAGCATGGTAGTGGCCTAATGTATAGGCTATAGCATCCCCACTCTTCTTATTTCTCCATGCGTCTACATTTACGAGCTACAGGGGACGCCCGGCTCCCGCAGAGCAAGCGCCAGAGCGTGTTCCGAAACGGCACGCTCACCGTGCATCGTGTAGAGCGGAATGCCGACGAAGGTTTCTACAGATGCACGGCCACAGGTCCCTCCGGGAGGTCTGCCTCCAGGGAACTCTACGTCAGCGTCATGGGTGAGTGCCACCAGTCAACCGGTGCTTGTTTTACGATCTCTTTCATTCTCGCTTATTTATTCTTTCGTGTCCAGTGGCGCCTGTTGTGGGTCCCTTCTCGTTTCCGGCGAACTTGAAAGAAGGCATGCGGGCCATCGTCACCTGCTCCGTGCTCGAAGGGGACAGCCCAGTACGCATCCGATGGCTCAAGGATAGTGCGCCCGTGGCGCCGGACGGCAGGAACGTCAAGGTCGAATCGAGCAACGAATATTCTTCCACGCTGTTCATCAAACAGGTGAGAGCCTTCTTAATCAATTGAAGTAGTTTACAAAACCACCCCAAGTTTTGTGTGTGTGTGTGTTTCCGCGAATTTCGTTTCTTCATTATTCTTTCCTTATTTTCTCCCATTTTTGTCCATTTTTCCAAACTGTTTTGTTGTCATTCTAGAGAGCATTTGCGGGTCTTAAGAGGATATTTTCACATTATGCTTCCTGTTTTTAATAAACTTCGCACTTAACTTATAATTCATTTGGGTGGTGCCGCGCATTCCGCAACGATAGAGGCATCACGCCGTCCAATGGAAGGCTGCTATTCCCTGCTCCGGACTCGAACAACAGTTATGGGCAGTCCAACGGGCCCGCGACGCAGCATAGTGACTTAGCCTTTGTGTTCTGGTGTAGAAGTGCCGCGAAAAGTGCTACAGCACGTTCTGACGAACTACATCAAAGTTATCTTTTCAATACATCTATCCATCCGTCCTCACAGCTATGCCGGTGTTGTGCCCTTTTCCACGGCAATTTTCGTCTGCTGCCTGCCTATTTCGTATTGTACATGCTCTCATATAAAATATTGAAAAACGTAGTACTCCAACTGGAGCCGAACACCCTTGCCTCATCCTGCCGTATAGTGCCCTCTTTGGGCGTTCGAAAATCCCAATTCTAGCAGCATTGTACTTGTGTAAGACGCTTTTGCTTTTTTTTCATACGTCGTAGGTATAGAGAAAAAAAAGAGAGATGATTAGGAAGGCTGGGAGGTTAGCCAAACATTGGCGTCCCGTTTGATATATTGCTAAGTTCAGCTTGGGTGGTTTTCAAAGTGCTCGAGCTACTTATCTGGCCCATTTCGCCTTCCATATGCTTCAGCCGAAGCAAACCAGCAAAAATAGTTTCCTCGTCTGTCCTGGTCAGGTCGGCTACCGGCATCGTGGCGAGTACACGTGCGTGGCATCGAACTTGGCGGCGTCCGCGAACTATTCTTCAAACATGGTCGTGAACGGTGAGTGCCAGTGTTTCTCTGGTCTCATGCGCATAATTACCGATAGTTGAACGAGGAGACGACCATCACGGCAGCTAAATTGGTAAGAGCGTCGGGCAGGTAATTCGAAGTTTGCTGCTTCGATCCCTGCCAGCGGCAAGTCGTCCCATCGTCCATATTGCTTTCTTCACATCTATATCCCAATTACTACAATAGACTTTCAACAGTACAATTAACGTGCCCTATATCTTACTTGGCATTTATATAGCCGGTTTTCATGAAGGTTGTTTAAAACAAAGAAACGAGTCCTTATAATATCCCCTTTCTTCATTCGACACAAAAAACAGAAACAGGCATATTCGCCATTCTGCTATTCTTGCATTCTGCTATCCTGATAATAGCGATATAACGTTGCTCAAGGCTCACTTTGACAATTGAAAAATAAATCCGTTGTTTTTGTTGCTTTTGTGACGTGGTGATTTCAGTGCCTCCAAGATGGAAAGTGGCTCCAAGAGAGAAGGCGGCGGTGGTTGGAGAAAACGTCGTGATCGACTGCCAAGCTGAAGGTTTCCCTCCGCCAAGGATATGGTGGGAGAAATCATCAGGTGGGTCATGGCGTGTTTTTATAGCTGATGGGCAACCGAAAGCAGCGGCACCTGTGAACTGAAATCTGCATCAATGGCAGTGCCACAAATGCCGCATGCCACACGTACTAAATATCACGGTAAACGTAGATAGATAGATAGATAGATAGATAGATAGATAGATAGATAGATAGATAGATAGATAGATAGATAGATAGATAGATAGATAGATAGATAGATAGATAGATAGATAGATAGATAGATAGATAGATAGATAGATAGATAGATAGATAGATAGATAGATAGATAGATAGATAGATAGATAGATAGATAGATAGATAGATAGATAGATAGATAGATAGATAGATAGATAGATAGATAGATAGATAGATAGATAGATAGATAGAAAGAAAGAAGGGTATTTATAATGACAAAAGCTCCGACATCGGCCTAAAGTTGTGATTTCGTGGTCAACGCTATGAATGAGGAATAAGGACATGGAAGAAGCCATTCATTAAAATATGAGAATATACGTGGTAGTCACAGGAAGCTTGAACTGTTAATTGGGAACGACGCTATGAAACTAAATGTTTCGTGTCGACAGTCTTTGACAAACGCGTGATGCCGCTGTCCGAAAATGTGATCTTCTGGTTCCAGCCGCAAGACCGACCGAGTACAAAGTGATCATCAGCAACTCTCACATACACACGCTTGAAAACGGCTCGCTCATGGTACGCGAGGCTGAGCGCAACGACACCGGCTTTTACCTCTGCCAGGCCAGCAACGGCGTTGGATCCGGAATTAGTAAGGTCATCGAACTGAAAGTACATGGTGAGTGTCGGGTATCAATATTTCGTTGAATTATTAGCGTGCACATGAATGCATAGCAATATCAACACGGCAGATTTGAGTTGGTTATTTTGCTCCGCAAGTTTTCTTGTAATGATTCCGCGAATATACACGAGGTTTATCTCCCACGCGCAGTTCACGAATCATGATTCATAGCATATTAAATAACTATATATCACGTAAAAGCTTTTATTAAATAAAATAAGCCCGAAATGCCGATGACCTCAGTTCAGGCCTGTGCGATATGTGAGAGTAATGACACCAGGTGGCTCGAGCTGTTTTTATTTTCCGACAATGAAATAAACGTGACATATATGTTGACTTTTACAAGAATTAGTGTATCTGCACCAAAGCTTTAGCTCCAGAAATGTTAGCCAGGTGCCACTGCATGCGGAACTGCAGTGAAGATTCCTCGGCCAAGCACTGACCTATTCTTTTTTAGTTTTCTTTGTAATTCTTCTCTTTTATTTTACTCTTGCAGTGTCAGCCCACTTCAAAAACGCATTCAACTTGAAAACTCTCCGCAAAGGCAACACGGCCCGCATCAAATGCGAAGTTTTTGGTGAAAAGCCATTGTCCATCTCATGGAGCAAGAACGGCCAATCGATATCTGCGAAGCAAGATCACCGGTAAGTTTGTCGCAAATATGCAGAGCGAAATAAACCAGTTTCACCAAAGGCAATTTCTGTTTTCGCAGATGGGGGTCTATACAGTGACCAATGCAAGCCTGGCAAAAAAATCACTTCTGATTGTTTTAATTTAATACAAAGAATGCTTAATGCTCGTACGGAAACCGAGTTGGGAGTTTCACGCAGATCTCCCCAAGCGCATTACCACTACAGTACAAAACTCGTTTGCATGAGAAGTACTGCTTAGAAAAACAGGATGATCACAGGCGCATAACAGCACGTGTTTTCTGAACGACTATACGCATACGTCTCTTTTTTGAAGATTGTAGTAGGTTTCATGCACTCATGAAAAAATTAGGTTAAGAGGCGACAACAGATTTGAAGAACGCCAAGCTGAAAAAAAAAGGTACACCGCTGTTAGTAATTTCGAAAAGCTATGAATATAATTTGGGCAGTCTTGTGGAATATATTAGTGTTGTATGAAAAACTGGAGTGCTCGCAGGAAGCTCATTTGCTCAATGAAAGGCTGCATGACCTCTAGTTAGAAGCACACTGCCGACCACTTGATGAAATACGTCAGTATACCTTGCATGGTGTCTGGGAATTTATTTAGTACGTTGTGGTTCTAGAATTTAGCTTATATTTGTTGAATAAAGCGATGTCGCCGAATAAGCGTCTCACGAGTGGTATTGATAATAATATTATTCATTTAGTGCAGCGAAACAGTTATTCTAACTGCAGCATCGCGCCGTTTTAGGTTTGAAATAAAAACCAGCGAGACTGAAGACAGCGTCCAATCACAACTGGAGATTCATGCCGTCGACCGGAGAGACTCGGCACTGTTCGCGTGTCATGGCAGCAACAAACATGGCAAGGATGAAACTAGGACGCAGCTGATTGTGCAAGGTAAGCGTCCGTAGGATAACAACGTTCACAGCAGGAATATTTGAAAATGGAGGTGGGTGTTCACCAAAGCCTAGATAGGATTATGTGGCATTGCCATAGTACTGGAGGACTCCGGAAATTTCCACCTCTTGTGCTTCGTTATTGAAATACAGAGTTTGTCTAACAAAACAGAATGCAGAGACTCTACTAGAAGACAATAGTAATCAATGTTGAAGTTTAAGATTGGTGATTAGCACTGTCTTTATTTTAAAAACCGATGGTGAATAGTCACGTTAATCTACACGTATGCTTCTGGCCTTTTACGCAGCATTCCATTTGTTCCTTTACTTCGTTTCATGTTGTGCTCTCACCTTTCCCGTCTATCGCAATTTTTTTTATGTCGATAACCGTCCATCACTAAACATTATCTTTAGGGATGGACAATTATCGACAGGAATGGCCGCATTCGAATGACAACCGAAAGTAAAAAAGAAGGAACATGCGTCTCTGAATTTCGCAGAAGCTCCTGGGGCCCCGTTCAACGTGGGAACGTCTGAAGTCACAAGCCGGTCGATGACAGTTTCCTGGGACCAGCCTTACACGGGGAACAGTCCCATCTCTGCTTATCGAGTGCAGAGCAAGACTTCAGGGAGTACGCTGTTTGCTTTGCTTTGACTCCTTTATTATAAAGGCTTTTCACGGTCAAACCATTTCTCTTTACCGAGTTGATCACTTAATGTTCGGGCAACTCCTTAATGGTGTTCCAGAATTACCCCTCACTCATATGACGAACATCATTTAAATGCGTTTAAGTTCTTGAAAAACTTCTAAATTACCACCGAACTTCCTACAGAAGTTTTTTAAAAAGTTCTTTTGGAACCTCTGAATTTCTAGAACAACTTGGAAGCTTTTTAGAAATTACGCATGTGCAGAAGATGTCCAACGTGCAGGACCATACAGCTTACCCTGAGTTTATAAAATTGGCTCACAATTTTTCGATAGGGTGTATCCTGAAGACGAAAACCTTTTGCTCCACCAATTAAGCAATGACACAGCAGAATTCACGTGCAGGAACATCGCATGTGAGATATCATTAAGGCACACAATAAACGAGTATGGCGTAAAACGTTTCGAACTTGCAAAGGTCCAATCACAGATCGCTCATCGCTAAGCAATGAATAGCGCCACATTCATTTTTTTTTTTCAGCCAAATGGAGTGGAGATATCAGGGAAAGTAGACTTCAAGGAAGAGTGACCACGCTTACTCTCAGGGATCTTCGTCCAGTCACGACGTACCTCGTGAGAATTCAAGCAGAGAACTCCTTGGGTGCTGGAGAGTTCAGTCAAGAAATACAAGTCACAACCGATGAAGAAGGTGAGGATAATTTTGAAAATATGTAAGGCAGCATACTACTAATTAGAAGCCGTACTTCACAAGCAACTCAATTGCAAGTGCACGCCATACAGTTAAAGTGATCTCGCAAAACCGTTACCTGTTAGTGAGTTAACAGGGGACGGTATTCACTATTGTCTGCTTGCTGCCAGGTAATAGTGAAATCCAAACAAGAAGGGATAGAAATACATGTAGCCCTCGGCAGACTCAGCAGCCATGGCGACATGATTTTATTTCATTAATAATTTATTAAAAATACTTTAACGGCGAATGGCTTTAGTAATCACTTCTTGGATTCTGCAATATACTTGTTCTTTGTTATTGATGGTTTTGAATGGAATCTTCTTTGGGAAAACAAAAGTAGAAGCGTCGTGCACAACCATGAAGCAGGCGGTCACGTCATAACACTGTGATGTGAATGTGCAAAGTCACCTGGAAGAATGGCTTAGTGACGAGACGTCAAGGCTTCTACAAGACTTTACCAGTTACAATCATTCATTAAACAAGGTGTAGTTGCCGATAACAGTTTTCTGTAACACTAAAAACGAGTCGTACAAAGTAGCCAAAATACTTAGGCTTTGAAATAATGAAAAAAAAGTTGTCCACGTTGTGCAAATCCTATGTCGGCCACGCTCACTTTTTTTCGGTTGTTACGATATTTTCTAGCATATATAGTTGAAACTGCACATAGTTCATTTTTTAAACAATTTAGTTATGCAGTAAACTCCACTTCACCTTTGGTTATGGAAACATTTACAAGATCTGCGGTGACATAAAAGCACTCAATTTGGCACGACATGTTTTCACTGCGCTTACTGGATAAGTTCTTTTAGAAGTGTCGAACGGTGCTTGCGTAGACGAGAGTCCAAAAATTGTTTATTGTTTCATTATTTAAGCGCCCGAAGGTCCACCACTGAATGTACAAGCTTCTGCAGCGTCATCAACATCCTTGAAGGTATCCTGGCAGGTAAGATATAGAACGTGACTTTTTTTTTTATTATAGAGTACTTTTAGGCCCCACTCGCGCTCCAACCATCGCATGTCTCATAGTCACACAGGGTCAGTATGCAACCATCATAGACTTAATATTACGCTGACAATACTTACAACCAGTGCATAAGTATCTAAGGTCAAAAATATTGTAAAATGTAAAAAGATTTATTAAATAATAATACTGAAGTAATCATGAAAAGTAAACACTTTTCAAACCCCCGAATGATGCGAGCGCGCCGTGTGAGGGTGGCTGTCACCGCCACGGCAGGCACATGGTTTTCAATAAAACCATTGCTTTGCCCATGCTTCATACTTTCTCATGTTCAACAGTAAGGAGTTGCATCAGGTGTGAGACTTGAAACTGTATCAGCTCCTACACAGCAGCCACTAGAACATTAAGCACAAACATTTTACTTAGACTAAATTTTGGTCCTTATTAACAAGTAAGTTTCTGTCGGCAATCTAGTGCCAAATGAACACATTTTTCTTTTCAAATTCCTAGTTTCTATGTGATCTTAAGATGCAATAAATCTGAAGATGTTTGTCTATTTTCCCGAGAGCTTAAGTTCGCTAGCTATAATAAAAATTCTTTCCATGCCTTCTAAAAACAAATATGCGAATGTGTTTTAAAGCTACCGAAAGCACTGAAAATTGACTTGCAAGCTTCAAGCAATTAACAATAGAAATGAAGCCATCAGCCTTAAATAGGCAGAAACTATTGCACTGCAGCCACCTAAAAGGGAGTACCAGAACGGCCTGCTGAAGGGCTACTACGTTGGTTACAAGAAGCACGGCACTTCGGACACGTATACTTACAAGACAGTCGACACAACGGGAAGCACCAGGGAAGAGGTGGTGCTTACTTCTCTCCAGCGGTCCACGAAGTACGCCGTGCTCGTGCAAGCATTCAACGAAAAAGGAACGGGTCCACCGATGCGAGGAAATTCCATCTTGAAACCTTCGAGAACGGTAACTTGCATTCACTTGATAGTGCGATAGAGTTATTAAGGTCAATATGTTTTTAGTTCCCGTTATCAGTGGCATTCATGCGAGCTTGAGCGAAAAGCGAGAAGCGTTAACCGGGCACTAAAACGTGGTCATCGGGCTACCGTTGAGCAGCCAAATAAAACATCTGGGCAGCTAACTTAAACTTCGAAAAAAAAAAAAAAACGCCAGCCCTGCGCGGAAGGCGCAGCACAGTCACAGCGAAAGCCAGAAGAGCGGCCTTTCAGGGCCTTTTCAAAACACTCATTGGGTAACTGCTGCAAGCACACTTGCTGGGTACCCACTACGGCATTGATAATAATAATTTCTGGGTAGTATAGGCCGGAACTCGATATGCTATCTTTCGTCATTCTTCTGAGAAGTATGGTATCCCCTAAACACTCGCAAGGAATTTTGTGGCAATTGTTCATGCAGTGGCTGACCACGATGAGAAATTATATCTGAAGTGGGTGGGCGCCACAGTTTATAGGTGATCAAGAACAAGCTTTTATTATGGTTTGGAGCATTGGACGACCCATTTGTTACACTATTCGCCATTGTGTGACGCCTGTTGTTCTTTTGAAGTTCTAAAACGCTTTATTATTCATATTGACGCGATTCCTTTTCGGACATCAAGACTGCCTAAGGCAAGTTTGTGAACTAGTCACAGGCACCGGCGTGATTCAGTGGTAGAATAGTGGGACAGCACGCAGCGGACCCGGGTTCAAGCAACACTGCGTGCTTGGTACTATAGGTTTTTTTTTTCTTGTTCCGTACAAAGTGGTTACGGACAGCGTCGGCTGCGGACAACTACGGCGCCACGCGTGACTCGAGTTGTGATCTCATAACAGCTTTCGCTGTAAAATGCAGTTTCTGCCCGCGTACTCTTTTAACAGGGTTGTATTACATACGGTAGGTAAGGCTAAAAAACTGGACGTTCTTTTCTTGAGGGGTGAAAGCTTCACGTGTGCTATCTGACAGAGGGGCTTACATGCGCGCTGAAAGCTTGATGACCACGCTGTAGATAGAACAGTATAAGATATAGCAAAAATAAAACTGAAACAGGTGAAACATAGCGATGTATAAATAAGGAAGCTGTCCGAAGAAAATCAGTCATATACTTCTGTCACTGTATATACCCTCACTCTAATCAAACTACGTGATTCAACTGTTTAGTTCAGAACGACCACCACAGACATCTTGTAAAATGTCATTTAGCTATGGTGTTTACGCCATGCGAAGGCAGATACGCTAACGCTGTGAAGGTGTTGCTTGAGTTATGCATTATTGTATATTATTATTATTATTATTATTATTATTATTATTATTATTATTATTATTATTATTATTATTATTATTATTATTATTATTATTATTATTATAGAAGCGCCGAGTGTACTATACGATCTAAGAATTAGTATTGCAGAAAAGAAAAAGCATATGCGACTACGGCTGCCGCAAAATGTCTCATTTCAATACATGGACATAGCATCTGTACTGCCACAAAAACCAGAATAGGATGCTGACCAATATACCACATCGTACAAAACAGGGTGACAACCGAAAGCAAGAGCAACGTGAATGAACAGATAAAGTTGTCAGCCAATCCTGCATGGAGCTACTCTGCGCAAAGAAATAATCAGTGGGGACGCAATTAGTTTTTCTGTCGTTGCCAGTGTCACGGCCTTTCCCAATAGGGAAACACCTATTGCTACACATATTGAGACTAGATGGATATTGATGAGTGTCCATTGATGTTTTGCAGATCCACCACCATCGCCTACGTTAAGCGTCTTCAGCACGAGTTCAACGTCGATTCAGTTGCAGTGGAGCCCAAACGAGGGCGAAGACACGTCTATAATTGGTGTGTCATAACTACTTACGTATTACATTGATCTCGATACCATCTTTCGAGATAGCTTGCGAGACCATGTGAGAGTGTGTATGCGTGCGTGTGTCTTTGTGAGTGTGGGAGCAGGAACCTTTGCTTAAACATCTGCTGAATCTCAGATCTCACTAATATTTTGAATATGCATGAATGTAACACCTGTACCAACCACAGTCTTTGATTCACCAGGAGTTATTTTTCTTTTTTTCCTTTTCTAAAAATTGTTCAAGACACTGCATATAGCTGGCACTCGAAGGCATACCTTAAGGCAAAATGATTTTTTTTTTTTTGCTTGGAAATTTTACGAATAGAAGTTGAAGACACCGAGAGCCCTTTTTTCGGCATATCTGTAGTAAGAACGAATAGGACGAAATTAAAATTTATCTTGTATGGTTTTTGTCCAAAACTGTTACTTCGTACTTTCAGGTTACTACATCTACGTTAAGGCTGAGCACGGAACCTGGGAGGAGCATCAGGTTTCCGCTCATCAGACGACCCACACTTTCCAAGACCTTCTGTGTGGAACTAACTACCAGTTCTACGTCGCCTCCTACAACAAGATGGGCAAAAGCGATCCCAGCGAAGTGATCTCGGCAAAAACTCAAGGAGCACGTGAGCTAAACATGAATATTTCTCTCGCGTGAAGCCGCCTTTTTCCTAATCAAGATATATGTGTACCAATAACAAATATTTGGAGTTTTAGGTAAAGGAAAACATGAGCGTGATTGTGTAAGAAGCATAATTAGTTGCTTGCAGTGTTGCTAGTGAACTGGTGTTCATGGAATAGAATACGTTAGCAATAGCTTACTGATGCACGACTACCAATTTTTCGAGACAACTCATGGCACATACTCTTTTTATCATTCACGCAGTGAACAACTTCCTATCAACGTTAAACATTGCACTGCAGAACTTCCTTTTACGGTAGTAGAATGTAGTACAGCGTACGCAGTAAACGTAAATGTTTGTTATCATTTAGCGTGAATCTGCGGCGGTTGTATTTCCAATGGAGGCGGAAATGTTGTAGACCCGTGTGGTCAAATTTGGGCGCACGTTAAAGAACCCCAGGTGGTCGAAATTTCTGGAGCCCTTCACTACGGCGTCTCTAATAATCATATGGTGGTTTTGGGACGTTAAACCCCACATATAAATCAATCATTTAGCGCAAATTCATTACAAGTGGGTCAGCGACTGACGAAAAATACTTCTTATCCGCTTACAACAAAGGTCAGACCGCTTGTTTCAAGATAAAAGTCCAGTTACCGATCAGAAAATATTTTTTTTTGCGTCAGATGATGAGTGGTGCCAAAAAAAAATGAGAACCATGAGTAAATGGCTGTTTGTTTCGTTGCTTGTTGCGTTGTTTCATACAGCTTTCACAAGAAATTTAAAACCTCTTTTGCCACTACTTCCTTTTGTTTTAAAGACGATATTCTTCTTTGGGATATTTACACGCAGACACTTTTGTCCGTCCGTCCGTCCGCCCGCCCGTCCGTCTGTCCGTCCGTCTGTCTGTCTGTCTGTCTGTTCAGGCAATGCCTCCTAGAAAAATTATGCCTAGAACGTGAGCCGCGAACGTACCCCCGTACCCTCGGATTTTACCCTTTCCCTCTCGTACGAAGGCGAATGCCCCCTGAGAACACAGCAATGCTCTTACAGTTGCCTCCGAGCATCTGTGATGTCATGCGACAGAACGGTACGGTACTGTCATGTGACTGAGCGGTTCCCCACGCGGCGAATGGTCGCAACACGTGACAGATTTTCTAGGAGGCGTTGGTACAGGCATCCGAGCGGAAGCTCAACCCCCTGCTGAACGCCCATCTATCTCGATCACCTGGCTGTGTTTCTACTAGTGAAAATTGTCAATCGAAAAGCAGACATTGCACATATTCAGACGCAACATGAATGCGTGAGTATTAGGTAGCGTGTGTCTTTATTTATAGGAAGCTTAGGTAAGTAATTATAAATGCCACAGTGTTTATTATGTTGCGCGGAAAATGTGACCTTATGAACGAAAAAGCGGGCGTTACCTAGGCTTCACTAAAACGACATGGTGCTGCCACTTACCAGTTGCTCGGCGTTCTAAACTTTTATTTGCTACATTACAGCCAGGTGGCGCCAATATCAGCGTAGAGTCACTGTACATGCTACCTTTAGGTAGCAGAGTTGCGCCACTGTTTTCCGGGCACCGCTCGCTCCGCCTACAGAAGTTCGGCGCCCCCATTCGCCGAGCGCCATCACGTGATCATAGGTGGTTCATTTGCACTGCGGAGAAGCCAAGGCTACGAAGATTTTGCGCAGATCAAGTGGGGTTGACAACAAATGTTGTCATTCTCGCCGCGCTTCTTCGGTAATGTAGCCCCACTGCCTGTTGGTCACGAGAAATGCGGCAGCAAATGCATTATTTGTTGAATTGTATTACGTAGAGCTCATGTGATTAGACGCTGGTGTAGCGGCTGTTGCTATAGAAAGATTAGTGTTCAGTCGGAAGGAATAAATGTTTGGCCATTGTCGTATGCAGGATTTTCTCTTGGGGGGTACAAATCAATGTTGCATCGCGGTTCAAGGAGAGCGAGAGCACTGACCTAGCTTGGGTGAGGGTAAGTGCTGTCGTGGCTTGAAGAGGGCAAGTGCCCCTCTTCCACTTCTCTGCTGACGCCCATGCGTTTGGCTTTTTTTTTTATCTGTCCACGACACTGCAAAACTTGCTCTATTTGTATTAACCACAAATGCAGTAGTGAATACGTTATACATGCAGAGTTTGCCAGTGTGTGTCAGCTGCGTTCGTCCAAATTGGTCTGGCGGTTAAAACACTAAAAATAAAGGGAGAATTTCAACTAGAACTATTTGAATCAGCAAGGTGTTGCTGCTAGTTCGTGAATTGAATGCGGCTTTGAAACCTTAAGTGAAAAGAATGTTGGACACGACAGGGTTGTTGAACAATGATTCACATCAATTGTCGTTAACCGCCATTGTAATACGAGCGGAATACGAGAGCCGCGCGTAACGCGGGCATCGTACGGCCACTCTCTATCGCTATCCAGCTCGATTCAGTTGAAGACTACAAAGCTTCAGCTGGTTAACTCGCACAGTTAACCAATGAGTCCAACGCAACGAAAATATTTTATCTCTAGCTCCATCAATAGCGATCAAGAGTGAAAAAAAATTTTATACATGTAATACGGAAAAAATAGCGCAAAAGAAGCCGAAGCTAATGTGTGGCCTACTGTAAATATACATATGTATCAGTGGTTCAACGAGCTGACGCATGTTTTTTTTCTTCATTATTACATACCAAAGACGTCCACATAAAATCAAGGCTTTCAGGCGTGACCAGAGCAACTGAGTTTTTCTTGTACTTTCATAAAAAAATGGAGAGACGAAAGCGAAAAGAATAAGTAACTCAACCCTAGTACTCTGAAGCGTGAGCGCTGCTCCTACGCGGGCGGTGAGTGGCTCTCCCGCAAGACATTTGAACTCAAGATGGCGTACCTTGGCGCAACTCTGCTACCTGAAGTTAGCATATACCGTAACTCCAACTCAGCGCCTCGCGATAGAAAATGATCGTTTTTTTTTTACAGAGCATTTCTTAGTTGCCCCCACTGTGCCCCCCCCCCCCAAGCCTTGCGCATGCTTGTATCTCGCGTCTCGGGCCGGCCCAGGAAGACACCCGCAAAACTATCTCTCCCCTCCTTTCTCTCGCCTCGCAAGGCCGACACAGGCAGCATCTGGTAGCAAAAAAGTCACAGTTTCGCCACAAGGGCGAAGTATTGAATGCGATAGCAACAACTTGGAATGTAACGCTGAGCGCAGCTAGCAAATTGAAACATACAAAGCGCTGCTCACGCACAAATGACGCACGGGAACAACACACACAGGACGAGAGCTAACTAACAATGCTTACAGCTTGCCACTTAACGTGCGGTTAAAGAAAAACGATGCACGAAACGTAATCACGGGTACAGATATGACTGTGAACTAACGAGTGTCCTAGTTGTTAATTCGCTGTGTTTCAAAAGCGCGCTCTTTTCACAAACGGTGCCTGCCCAGTGAGCGAAGAGACCTTTGTGGCCCAAGAAACTAACGCAATCGTTATAGGCAAAGGCACACGGTTCTCCTCACCGAAGGATAAGCGTACGCACACAAGCACCTAACTACCTCCCCCTGCCCCCATCCGTGGGCCAAAGTACGCGTAAGAGATAAGCGCGCATTGGCACGTCCTAACTGGGCGCGAAGCATCGGCGGCTTTTTTAAAGATGATAGGTTTTCTTGGGGACCTTCGACAGAAAAAATTTAGTCTGTCTGTCTGTCTGTCTGTCTGTCTGTCTGTCTGTCTGTCTGTCTGTCTGTCTGTCTGTCTGTCTGTCTGTCTGCCCAATTGTCTATTCGTCCGCCCTTAACGATACCCCAAATGACCGAACCCATCCGCAGCACCCACCAATATTGCTCAAGATTTAGCGTTTGTACTTGTCAATTAAAAAGCAATTATTGCGCATATCTGAGGCACCATAACAACGCGTCGATAGTCTGTATGTGTGTATATTTCTCTTTACTGAAAAAGGCATACATAAGTAATTCTAAAGACCATAGCGTTTCTCACGCTGCGCTGTCTATGCAAAGCTTGCACAAAAAAGGCAAGAGTTTCCAACGCTTTGCTAAGACGACACGGTGGTGGCACCTACCCGTCTCCTTGCGTTCTACACCTTATCGCCTCCGAGACGGGTGCGCACGCCACCACGCTTCGTTTTCGAAGATAACTGCCAGATAGCGCTCATGTCTAACGTGTGACATGACTTGATGCGCTCGTTCGCCTCTGCTGCACGCTCGAGGCACTCTAACGCAGTGCCTTCAGAATAACATTCACCAATTTTCTTGCGCAGAACATCAAATAAACGTTTTGTTCAATCTCTCCAGACGCAACACTATCGCCTTTCGACGACATTTGCAGCGTAACATGCAGATACGGGGCCAAGTTTTTTTCTTTTGTGTGTTTTCATATATATAGATGTGTATACGTATACGGTGCAAGACGGCGGCGGGGGCACCGACGGCAAAAAAGCAGCCGAGACTGTATGTATGATTGCTGTCGCAATAAAAACGACTGCTCGCGCTGCACAACCGTGCACTGGCCTACCCGTATATGTAAGCACTAGATCGCACGATTGGAATTAAGTCGAGGGCGTCTTAACTTGGCTTTTGCTTGACTTTGAAGGTAACGCGTTTATTTTATTCAATAAATAGAAATGATGAAGACAATATAGCTATTAAGCATTCCCAAATCGTACCAAATTACGTGGCATTCAAGCAATACTCCCACCATTCTGCGACGCATTTACTTGAGCTCCCCCCGTGGGATGATGCAGGCGGCAATTTTTCTAACGTCCTTTGTAGTGAAACATACAGATACGGAGGCATTTTTAGATGCGAAGCAGCGGTTTGACTCACGCGTGTAACGCCGCATAGAGTTTTCAAAAATTAATTAGAGGGAACTTTGTTGCCACGATCGTTCAGCGACCATGAGAACCATGATGGGAATGATAGGTCGTACATGGATTTGCCTAGTCTTCGCACTTGCGAGCGGTGAATTGCACTTGTGGAATCGTTTATTGTTTTGTTCCAGTTTTGTTTCGAAGGAAAGAACGGGCCCTTTCAAACTTCATTACCAGATTTCAAAGGGTAAGCCTAAAATATAAGGTGGTGCAGTGCAACTGCTGAACATTTGCTGATTTTTGTTTCTGCGACAGATGAACTTCAAGCCACGCGAACCCAAACGAAGCCAGAAGTTCGATGATTAAACAAATCCATGTACTACCCACCATTCCCATGCTCGCTGAAGTGCCGTGCGTTGCGGCTCCCATAGGCACTAGTGCCAAAGCTCTCTCGTGTATATTTAGGAAACATTATGTAATGCCGTACGTACGTGTGTCCGTACGAACAGGCTGCAACGCGTCCCTCGCTGCAGCGCCCGCAGCTGCCGCCTTCTCCGCCCACTAGCAACACACTTCTCTCTCGCTTCACCCTCTCCATCGCCCACAACGCTGGACCGCACGTCGAGCGAAAACACTCTTTCGGCTCGCTTATCTGCGATGAAACTTGAGACTGTTTCATATGCCACGATTGCAGCGAAAAAAAAATCGTTCTGTTCGCTCCAACTGCTTTGTTCGCAACCGCCGCTAATGGCGGTTTAGTTTCACATGGACCGCGAACAGTCCGCGATTCTCGCTCTGTGACTGCAGCGGCGAGAAATGTTTCTTGCCGCAGTTCGTTGTGGCAGACAGCTGTAGAATTTTTCAAATATGGTGTAACAATCTGTGCGTTATGATATTAACTTTCCATAAACGGCAACGAAGAACACTGAAATGCTGAAATACGTGGCGCAAGGTTGACAAAGAGAAAAGGATGAGACAGAAAGAGCACCATTTCTGTCTCGTCTTTTTCTCTTTGTCAACCTTGCGCCACGTATTTCAGCATAATATGTACCAACTAGCCCAACATAACGTACTGTTAAGAACACTTGTTTTTGATCATCTAAGAACACTTTCGAATCTAAATTATTTCTAAATTGCACAGCATCGGCCATCACTAAAACAAACACGTCAACGCCATTTGGACGGTTGGCCGGCCCGGCCATATTTAGACGGGTCCCGACCGAAAATCGCTCCCGCCGCTGCGACCAGAGCAAAAATTTCTAACATGTTGGAAGCTCGCCGTGGACTGCTGCGGTGGTAGCAAACTGTTTTTTTTTTTTCGCTGCGAGCGAATTCGCGGTCTGAAAATCGCTACTTTTCGTGTCATGTGAAAAGGCCTTTACGCGAAACCACGGTGCAAGATACGAAACACTCGCACCTCCCGTGTCTGCGTTTCAAACAAACGTTTACTCGAGTAAACGCTACACCGCGTTTTGTTTCACACCGTTCTTCCTGCACCCGCGTCAACGCCCATTTCAACCGATGTGAACGCCGTGCGCACCGCTGCTGCTTCGCGTACCACCAGGGGGATTGTTTATAATCATTTTTTTAATTTACAATCAGGGAAACTGTAGAAACAGCTATGTGACTATTGTGTCACAAATTACACATGTTAAATTCATTCGTCAGGCGTTGACATCTTTCCATGTAACATGCATTACATGTTGCGCACGCGATAGAACCTTCATTTTTTTCGTGACTTGTATTTCATACCACATTCTTTTCTAGTCTTTTTTATTATTTATGCTTTTGTACCTTTTGTGCGTTAGCTGGCCTATTACGTGCATGTTTTGCTTTCTGACCGTTATGCTTTGCCTGTTCTGTTTGTTTTGCTTTTTGCCTCTCCCCTCTACGATGCTGTAAAGCCCTGAGGGTAAAAGAATAATAATTATAACAATAACAATAATAATAATACTAATAATAATAATAATAATAATAATAATAATAATAGCTATGCGCTATACTATTGCGGTTTTCTTGGCAAAATGTTAGCATTAGGCCCGGCAAAATGTACAAAATTCTTCATGTTTTTTAGTGCAAATTCTTCGTATGGCTTCTAAATCGAGGTTATGTACTGGGATTCCTGAACAGCATGGAAGTAATTGTCATTACTTCCTTACTGTTCTTTTTTTATTAGAAGCAGAAAAACTGTGGAAGCCGTATGTGACTACTGTGTCAGGTACAGTAGTACGCATGCCATAAGTTGCGTTATTTTTCGCATATTTCTTTTCTTTGTAAGAGCGTTAGCATTAGTCAGTTCAAAGTGGACAAACGTTTTCTAGTTTTTGAAAGCGATTTCTTCCTGTGTCTCCTCCCTTCACATAGTTTGGGAGATACAACGAATAACATTGGCTGAAATAAAATGGAAAACAAGATGACGAAGACCATCTTTTCTAGAAGTCTATACCTTTAATTTTGTTTGTGCTGAACACCAAAGAATTGATTGATAGTTTTTCCTCAATCGTGCGGTTTGGCGCCAGTTGTATTTGCAAAACACCTTAACTTGACCAGCGTTAATGATAGTGTTTGCTTTTTAAATCAGTTAGAGTATGAAGGCAGTCGAATGTAAATAGATGTGATTGATGCTAATGAATTTTCGACGCCTGTACCACTACTTTGGCATTGACTTTATAATTATGTGTAGTGTTTTTTTCTTTAATCCTCAGGGCTGGTGACTCCCAAGTGTGACGCCGTGATAAGCGTCAACGGGACGACACTGACTAATGAACATTTGCTGCTTTGTCACCACTTGAATTCATAATGATGTGCACTGCATCAGTCCTATGTTGGCATGTATTCGCAATGATGCACATGACACCTGTCTCTCTTCTCAACGCCTGTGACTTCTGAGCGTGACGCCGTGATAAGCGTCAACAAACGAAGCTGACTAACGAAAAATTTCGGCTATGCCCACACTGATTTTACAATGATATGCACTGCACCCTGTCCTGTGTTACCATGAATTTATGATGACTTGCACTGAATCTTCCACGGTACTCAGCGCCAGTGACTCCAAAACGGGATGCCGTGATAAGCGTCAACTGGACGAAACTGACTAACAGTTTCGGCTATGGCGACAGTGAATTTATAATGATGTACACTGAATCTATCTTTTGTTATCATAAATTTATAATGATAGGCCCTGCATCTGTCTATGTCCTCAGCGCCAGTGCCTCCTAAGCGTGACGCCTTGATAAGCGTCAACGGGACGATGCTGATGGTGCACCTGAGCAGCTGGAGCAGTGCGGGATGTCCGATCCAGTCGTTCACGGTTCACTACCGGATAGAGGAGGAAGACTACGACTGGGTCCTAGTGTCCGACGCTATACCGGCCGAGCAGAAAGTGCTTGTCATTTCGGGCCTACTTCCGGGAAAGTGGTACCTACTGCGGGTGGCAGGTCACAGCGAAGCCGGTACATCGGAACAGGAATACACCTTCAGCACGCTCACGAAAACGGGAGGTACTGCTCGCTCGTTTGTTCTTACCCTGCTATAGAGTAAAGCTGACGTCTACGGGAAGCCTTACATTAGGATAGATTTCAGTAATATGCTCTTGAAGCTCCCCGTGGTTCGAGGCAGCTGAAAATTACGATGCATCGTTAATATATGACACAATCACTTTAACAGACTTCTTCGGAATGTCAGAACTTTCAGGGCCACGATAAAGTGGTTAGCATGCATGAAGTCCTACGAAGAGAAAATGTGCGCCACGCTAACGCACTCCTACAACAGTACACAGCCATAATAAGAATACGACCGCACTTAGCAGTGGCCTCCATTTCGAGCATAACTAGTTGTGTCATTACAAAGGGGCACTTGATTAAAATGGCTCAACTGATAAAGTCCAAAGTAAGAACATTTGGCAATACAATTCTTTATTGGCTTTCAATCCATTAAATGGGGAATGTAGTGTGTGTAGTGCTGTTTTGTTCTCATTGCGAATTTCACATGACAGGTACGACAGCACACCTCCTTACAAATTACCTCGGAAAAAATGGCTCTGTCATGCAAATTACTAACAGTTCCATTCGAACTTCCGCCTTCTCAATTTCCCGAGCTAAAAGAAGCGTTAGGCACTTAGCTTTGGCCGTAGTTAGCGTCACGCCGCTGTTTTTACGTCGTATATTGTGTACTATATGGTACACACCACTAAAGGGCAACGTACCATACATATTTCTGTTCCACGGTTGTTTTTTGCTGCAGCCAGCATTCCACCACTGAACAGCCTCGAAAGCCGAAGACCGGCGTTCTACAAAAGCGTCAGCATCATGGTGCCCTTAGTGTGCGTGGTGGCGATGCTCGTTCTCATCGTGGCCGTGCTCGCTTTTATCATACCTCGGAGACGAAGACAGGCGACGCCTCATCATTACAGAGGTAATATGACTACGACTGGCCCAGCGCACGTGCCTTAGACGCGGCAGATGTGTTATGCCACCTGAGAGAATGGTGGGGTGCACAGCAAAACATCTTCATGGCACTGTGAACCTCGAATGGGCCGATTCTGTGAAGGAATATAACATTGAATGCAGGCAATTATAGAAACCTGAAATTATTTCCTCAAACTAAAGCCTGTTGTGAGGGGTAAGTAAACCGACAAAATAATACTCAATTGGGTCGCGTCAAAACAGAAGATATGCCGCTCCTGTGTTTCTTCACTCGGATAGAACGTTTTTTTTAATGCTCACGCTGACTCAGTTTTGCCATTAAATAGACTGGATATTGAAAAGACACTTAAGACGTGCTTTTTCTAAATGTGTCCCGTTACGCTGCGCATAGGGAGACATAACGTCGAGTAACTGTTAGTGTTTATTTGTTACGCTGTCATATGCATCACGCGGGTAACATCCGAAGTTGAAGCGCTTGTATGGTCCATCAGCATGCTTGAACGTAATGACCTGTTCCCTATATTAGGAATCACTTCGCGTATCTGTGCAGATCCATGTTCCGACGACAAGAATATGGAGGCTCTTAGCCTTTCCATACTGAAACAGCCAGGAGAGCGCATGGAAACGGCGAGCCCTGGAAAGGAGCAGCTCTACTATCCATCCCCTTACGCAATGGGCCGAGTGCAGACATTGAGTAAGCAAGGTGTCGGTCCCTCAGACACCGACGCTGCAGCAGCAGCTGTGCAAACACTGAAGAGGGCGAGACGAGAGCACATCTACGAGGTACCTTACCCGAAATGGGTGCGTTCTCACTTTCATCCAATCACACTGTTCACTTTTATAATCTGCCGATGTGTCACCGTATGCCTAGCGTCGAGATGAACGCATGTGTGTCTTATAAAATGTGACCTATAATTTATTATTGTAAGACATCAAATATTGAAGGTGGCCCTAATATTTTCCTGGGGTGTCTGGTAGGTGCACTCGCTCGTCAACGTAAGAGTGTCCTTATGTACTTCGTGAGGTAATTTCGTATGTCATCGCGCTACCCAAGAGGATCTAAGAGCTCCATGAAGAAAAGTGCCTGGCTGAAGTCTGCTCCCCCAGTTGCCACCGCAATGCAACCAGCTTGCCAGAAAACCTTCTGCACTTTTAATGAATTGATGGAATTAATTTTGATTGTTAGCCGGACAGTTCACTGACCCTTATCGCCAGTAAACTTACTGTTCTATAATATAGGCGTCCAAATGAATCAGAACTTGAAGAACCGTCGCTTTCATGCAAGTTTATTGTTAGACTACTTTTTCTCAATTTTCAAAAAAAAGCGGAAGGAAGTCCTTCATCGGAAGTATTTGGATAAATAGCAATAGTGCAACTCAGAAATGAAAGCAGAGGCTGAACCACCAATAGAATGTATGTGCCAGCAAATGGTAACCCTTCAAATATATTTGCCCCACTATCTGAACTGAACGTTTTGTATCATATGTGCTCGAACGCGGACGTCTTTTATAGCACGACGCACAGGTTCTCGACGTATAAATTGTAAACACTAATTCGGTGCAAGATGATCGTTGCATTATTTTGACGAGCAACATTTCTTCCTATATATCATTGCGAAAAATTGGTTACGTCTTACTTGGTGTATGTCCTGTCAAACTCACAGATTGAAGAGGAGGGCTACCCTTACGTGGCGGATGGTCCAAATGAACACGTGCCGAATATATACCAGGCCCCTAAAAAATCAGGCATGTAATTTCAATACTCAAGCCGATTGCGTTGCACCGGTTACATGTCTTTTTTATATTTTTGTTCTGCATGCTAGTTGCCTTCTAGTTGCTCGTGGGGCACTCGGCTGCTGACCCGCATGTTGCGGCTTTCATTCCCGGCTGCAGATGCTGTATTTTCGATTGAGGCGAACAAGCTGTAGGTCCGTGGGCTCAGATTTGGGTGCACGTTAAAGAACTCCAGGTGGTCGAAATTTCTGGTGCCCGCCACTACGGCGTCTCTCATAATCATATGGTGGCTTTGTAACGTTAAACCACACATATAATCATCATCATCATCAGTTGCTCTTGGAGAAAATAATGTCACTTGCACTAAGCTTTTCTTTTCTCAAATAACAGCAATGACGTCAAATATGAACTCACGCACCCCTGCGCATATGACAATCGATGGAAGAAGGATACTCAGAGACAGAGAAAGGAGCCACAGAACAGCGTTCAAGTCATCGAGTCTCGCCTCAGATGGGTGAGCGCTTCACTTGAACAGAAAAGACAGGGCCCTTGTCGATGAAGACAATGCTATAATTAATCGAGCAGCGATTATACCATATATAGCAACTTACTGCTCAGCCTGAATTGTTAAGGCTGATATTGGCGTTTTACACCGACGGAGAGGTAGTATTTTTAACATCTCAAGTACAAAGTATTGACCTCTTGCTTGTTTTTTCCGCTATCTATCATTCAAAAATCTGACAAGCAAAAAAAAAAGATATTCATTTACGGGCAACTTATTACCAAGTGGTAGCTTCTGTGTGCACAGAGAGAGAGAGAGAAAGCATAGGAAAGACCAGGAGGTTAAACAGGTTGCTCCCGGTTTGCTACCCTACACGGGGTAAGTGGGAAATGGGAAAAACGAATAAATAAGAAAATAAAGAAAAGGCATAGGCTATAGGATAGCGTGCACAGCAGCACGTGTCCTGCACATGTGTCCTACGCACAGCAGCATAGTCACAGAGTACGGATAGACTTCCACTCTCCTAGATGACTTGCACTGCAAACCAAAATGTTAAAGAGGGCTTGCAAGAACTGTTTTAAGTGTGGTATCCTGCAGTGCTCTGCGAGCTCATTGGGCTGTCAATCTGGTGAGGAGTGTGTGCGTTGTGCTTTGTATGTATAAATCTGTACTGCACTTCTCTAAAAACTTTTCGATCGTTTTAATGCTAAGCCATATCAACATACTGGTTTTATTTATACACATGTCATTTATTGCTTTTTTCTTTATTTCTGCCTAAAGTCATTCTGCCGATGACAGCGACAGTGAAGGCGCATCGTACACGTTCCATCGAACAAAGGTAGGAAGCTACGGAGATCGCACGGAGATCTCGGAGGCGGAGTGCGACCGAGAACAACACGTGAGAGGCGAGAACAGCGGCAACTCTGCATTCTGCACTAATACGTAGATATCAGCGAAGAAGTACTAAAACTATCTACATTTCATTACTCGGCACACAGCCGGTTACCTTAGGAGCGATTCTGGCTGGCTAAGCGCTGGGCTTATCAATATGAGAACTAGCAATAGTCCAAACGTAGGCATGCGGAAAATTAGCTTTTATTGAAATGTGAAATTCATAGGATGAAAATAATAAAAGGCAGATAAAAAGGCTGTGCACCCATATCTCTTGAGTACTTTTCTTACCTAATAATCCTCGTGACAACCCTTCACCCACTCGTTACTTCGGGTGCTTGTGTTGGTGTGTTACGTTGGGCAGTAGAATTTAAACCAGCTCTCACGTCACTGCGAGGTGGTGACTAACCATAAACTTCTACTTGCTATACGACAGCATCAACACTGGAAAGTTTGAGGTCTGCCATTTGCAACGAGTGGGGTAAAAAACAAGCTTATACTAATATCATCATTCGTACTTCTTTTTGTCGATCAGCCGCAAAACGCCTGGAAGCACTTGGAGTTCACGTCAGTCCCGGCTACAGCATAACTTGAGGTCTACTGCACCCCCACCATCAAGCGAACATGAAAGAGACTTGCGTGTGACGTCACAGCGGTCTTTGGACGCCGGCTGAAATCGCGCAGCTGTGCGGATGTTACAGCGCTATCCATCATCACCGTGCCTACACAATGTGCCGTGTATAAAATGTGGACATGTATTGAATACCAGCAGTCTTCTGGAAGCCTCAAGGAGCGTCTGAAGTCTGCAATTACGTGCCTCAAGTGAACTGCCGAGTGATTCTTTCTTTTTGTACGTGACTGTGATTTCAAGGACATTCTTAACGCATTTATGAAGCAGTGGAATATTCTTGTGTTGTACGGAGGCTTTTCTTACTGCCAAATGTGTCGTCTGGTGTTTCTATTGTGGGAGTGAAAGAAGTGATCGCTGTTTTACGGTTTGACGCAAACCGTTTTGTCACACGAACATTTTTTATGCTAAAGTAAACACAGAGACCGCAAAGCGTCTTAGATAAAAACACGTTTTTTTTTCGTGCAGCACACACGGACAAAACAAAAGTGTGGGAGTTGTGGAGCTTGAAAAATAAACAGTGGTTTATCTGCCATACCATACAGGAGAGAAAGTATAGGAGGTAAAAACGCATCAGTGAAATTACTAAATTAAATATGAAGAATAGCAAGAAATTAAACCAGACGGAGTTTGTACATTTATGTTGTCATGTTTTAGCAGAAAAGTTTGAACAGAAGTGATGCTCCGTGTTCTCTTTGAGAAGTCTAAATTATGGCTGCCTACTGCATACCCCAACAAATTTTCGTAATTCAATGTTACGTTTAACTGAGTTAACATTCATTCACGTGTATCAAGGAGACCAATCGTGCTTCTTAGGGTAACAATTCATTTTGTCAATTGGTTCGTTGCCTTTATATTAACAACAATGGCTTTACATCACCATACTAAAGCAACAGGACAATTTTCTTAGTGTTCTGTTTATGAATTCTTGGCATCCACTATGCAGAATGGCTGATTTCTTGAGCAAAAAAGAGCGAATTCTTATTGAACAAAATGACTTCTAGTAGTGTTTTTTATTGTTCTCTAACAGTGGTACCTGCAATTCGAATTGAGCGATCGAGAGAAAAAATGGTGCGCGGACAGCCTGTGATGATAGACAAACATGTGTTATTTCAAAGCTATCTATCGCTAAACATTCTGATATTACGAACAATTTCATTTTATACCGAGGCATCCTCCACTTCATAGCTTATCTTCATAGGTTGGTCGAGTTTAAAAAATGGTTCAACCAACCAATCAACAAACATGCCACTTTTCGGCACGTTCACCACCATTACGGTAAATTTAGTCCATTAATATATTTAGTGGTCAACGTTTGAATCAAAAGGTGTTGTTTCACTGTGAATATTTATATTTTAGCCATACTTATTAGGTTATAGTTGCTATCTATGTTATTACCTAAGACTGTTGGATAAATTTGGAATTCTTTGAACATGACAATCCAAACCACCTAAACACAATTGCAGTGTTGAATGAAATCGCCATCGACTAACAGTCTGCAATATTGATTCTAATTTATATTGGCAATTTCGTGACAGTGCTCTTGTAAACATGTTCACACTAGAAAGAAGATGAAAAAGTAATATCTGTGTGTTCGAAGTGTATTTTAGTTCTTGCTACGCTTTTGACAGTGCATTCGAGTTCTATTTCATTTTCCTACCAGAATGCAGAGCTACGGTACGGTATCTATTACAGCTTCGTCCGACGCGAATTTACTGCAAGAGAAATAGTACAGAAGGAGAGGCATTGAGGTTAACACCTTTAGAACGACTGGGTTGCCACACTACAGATGAAATACACCACACTGAAATTTCAAGGCAAGCAAGTACCCAAAAGTTTCGCAAACGTCTATAATTATTACGTGGACGAAGTTATTTTGGTGTCATCATTCTCAATAAGTTCTGTTTAACGTTTAGTTCACTGCTTCTATTATTGCACCACGTCATATTTCGGCAAGTGAATATTCGAGTAAGAAAGCGTTTACATTTGCAATTCATTGGTACTCAGCATACATTTCATACATTCGTGTATTCATTTGTTGGTTTATTCATTTAATTTTTTTAGTATATGAACGAAATAACTTCTATATTAAATTCAGCTAATCTCGCAGCACCTTCACAAAGTCGTAGGGCTATTACGCCGACAATCAGTAAAAAATCTAGGAGAGATCAATAACAGATATTATAATAGTGAACACACACATTTCTAAAATGTGCGTCCTAAAAGCGGTTCGCGTTTACTACACTTAAAAGTTTATTCATCAAAACAGAGATGAAGATTCATATCAGCTGAAACAGTGCTACCAGCATCGTGCGTAGAGAATTCTCAGCTATTGAGGGTTCACTCTTTTGACCTTCCTCCTACTCCTGTGCGCCACATTTTATTCCTGCAGGCAGTCTCACGTAGCAGTCGAAAAAAAAAATCGGCAATGCTTGAATTACATATATACGTTGAAAAATTACTCGAAACACACAATGCTCTCATTTAATATATAACTACATAAGTATGTACAATTGGAGATATCATTATTCTGACAGGCATTTTCTGCGTGCACCTATAAATGGTGTTACTCTCAAAAACGAATGAGCAACGCTGCACACTGAGTTTCAAACACGTCGAGAAGACAAGTGTGATATTTTTGGTATTAAAATGTAAATACTTAAATGGGTGCCGCCTGTTTCAGTGAAGCAGGTGGCGTTTCATATCCGAGATACAGAGTGAAGAAGTTGCTGCGTGTGTGTATGAAGACATTCTGTCGGTAATCTATACGCGTCACACGTCTTGCGTGAGTGATGTGGTATGCTGTGCATAGGACAGTTTTCAAAACACGGGGAATGGAATGTCATTTCGTTTTGCACAAGAATGTAATAAAGTCTCGAAATATTTTGTTTCCTTGAAGTGATCTTCATGCTTACGCCCTGTCATCTGTTAACTTTTTCATTGCGCTTCACAAGATTTTCTCAGTACGGCGGTATAAAAAAATGATTCCAAGTTAATTTAGGTGAAATTTACAATATTGTTATGGTATTTCATGTGCTCTTGCGTTCCTTTCGTAAAAAAAAGGGTTATCATAGATATTCTAAAAACATTCTCGATGAATTTCTACAGACTGCAATAAATGCTGTATTGAATTTCCGTTGACTTGCGTGTTACATTTGTACGGTGGAGTAACTTTGAATACTCCTAGTAGGTTAGTAAGTAAAATGTTGAATTTTCAGCTATGCTTCCTGCTTTTTAACACGGGCGTTGTAAAAAGACGTTTTTGTTTACGCATTTATATCGTTAAAGGCGCCATCTAGATGGTTGTATATGGTGTCGTGGGAGCAAGACACTCAAATTTGAAAGTGGAAGAAGGCTTGTGTGTGTGACTGCGGAATTTTGAAGGCAAGGTAGGCTTTCTGTAAGATAGATACGTGGTTCGGTTTCTGACGTTCGCAGATAATGTGCGGATAGTGTTTTAATCATTGATGAGCGATGAATATTGATGCAAGTATATTATTAGCAAAAAACAATATTCTACTTGGAGCACAGCACATAGGCACCCGTTTATGCACCAAACAGCATCGCCATCACAGTTGGCGTCGCCGTCGGCGGTGTAACTGATAGACATGAAAAATTAAATAAGCGAGAAATGCGCAAGGTAAAGACGCAATTGAACTTTGGCACTCTTTATAGCAGTCCACTATTCTACGATAGAGCCAAGCTGTTTGTTGCGCATGGTAATTACTGAAAATGCGGTAATGTGCAACGAAGCGAAACAAACACTTATAAATGCCTCTACAAGCGTACAATAAGCATTGCACAGAAAAAAACGTTCAAATAACAATGCCATTCTAAGCGAGAATCAGAGCAGTGCATTTCGCGAACACTTCATGGATACCCACCCAGCTGTACCTGGAGCTGCTGAAGGTTTTTTAGCTGTACAGCCATTTGTATAAAATTGCAATCGCGATGATTACAATGAGTTCAGCATGCTTATCTATATAAACTCTGCATACTCATTAGTAAAAATAGGTCAACAATGCATGAATGAATTTAACCTCTATTTCGTAGAAAAGAATGATGCTTTCAGCGGCAGTTTGCGAATCAGGTACCGAAGAGATGGTAGGTTTAACAGCATAAGCGTATCAACAAACACCATTTCATGTGAATAAGTCTGCGTTAAAGGCTCAACGAAATCACTCTCGCACAAAAGGGTCGATCATCTTCTACACCATTTTGATGCAGGCCCCTAAGACTAGCAGAGGCATTGAATTGCACTTGGGTGGTTCGATTGATATGTGGGGTTTAACGTCCCTAAACCATCATATGAATATGAGAAACTTTATAGTGAAGGACTCCGGAAATTTCAATCTAACGTGCACCAAAATCTGAGCACACGGACCTACAGCATTTCCGCTTCCATCGAAAATGCAGCCGCCGCCGGGATTCGATCCTGCGACCTGCGGGTCAGCAGCCGAGTACCTTAGCCACTATACCACCGTCGCAGGGTTCGCTTTTGGTTGGCACGAGATAATGGAGGCTGTAGGAATTTAAAGTAGTTAGCCTTACTTGTCACTTCTACAGGCCATTTTTGCTAAGTAGTTTCAAGCCCCACTTCGGCTGCTGCGAGCAAAGCTGGCGCTTGAAACTCATTGGAAAAATGCGCCATGCAGGTGTCATATCTGGCAAGGAATCACGTTAACCTATGCAATATAGCAAAGTTAAAGGCTAAAATAAGAATCAATGATCGCAGCATGCTAATTGCGCATGAAGCTTGTAGTTTATTGCTTCCACCTTCTGCGAAATGCTCATCCATAATTCTTCATCATCGTCAGCCACGCGCAGCATCAACAAAGCGCCCATATTAGCTTACAGATATATAGCGGGTACGTCACTTATCCGCAGAAAGATCAAAGATGGCATATTTGGTGCTCTCCTATTTCACACAAAAATTCATTTACGGCGTAGCCGATTACTTGCGGATAACAAAAACTTCAAATAGAGTTGGCCATGCTGCAACACGAGGCAGCGTTCAGACTTCACCTTGGGCAGTATTGTATTTGTCGGTGTTTTTTTCGAAAAATAAATACACGTCTTTATTTTTAGTTGTTAGCTTGTTAGTGGTATTCAAGTTTCGGCGAGAGTACCCGAGTTCCATGTTGCTCTATGCCCGTTACATAATGGCGACAATAAAGGACAGTGACACTGTAAATATA